CATTTCTTTTCCATCCCATTCCATATCACACACCTTTTCACAATTTATCATTATTTTGTCATCAACATCTTCATTATTTGCCATATCAAACCTGCTCATAGGTTCATACACGGTATTACCGCCCATCATATTCTCTTTCACATCGCTAATTTTTTTGTTTCTATTCCTTTCACTACCGTTGTTGTTCACGTCATCATTCCTACCTATTCCATATTCATCGGTACTAATACCAATTTTTCTTTTAATCTCACTTATCTCCTTTGATAAGCAGTTGTATTTCATCCACAACTCCTCAACTCGCTTCTTAACACCACTTCCCTTTCTCCTTCTGATCCATCTACTCAAAAAAGGTTTCTCCTTTATGAAATGCTCCTGTCTAAATTCGTGTACACCGGATAGGCTGTTCCTAACCTTGCTAAACCCGTATTTGTTTAGCTGACGTATAAAAGATGAGAAGTTGCCATGGTTAAAATACTTAACGAGCACATGCACCGTAAACATATGCTGGTTAGGTATTACTATGCTTTTACCTGTTGATGACCAACGTATGTACGGGTGGTTTATGGGTGTTTCTAAGATGGTGAATAGATGGTTGATGAATGGTGGAAAAGATGGCATTTGGGCTGTTCTAAGGATCGGTGTGCTGGTGTTTATGCTTGTTATGGTTAATGAAGGATTTTAGGCAAAGCGATGATGCAGTGAAACATAACAGAAGATGGTACCAGCACTGCCAAGCAGATGCTAATGTTGACATTAAAATGCGATTTGCACCAACAATACATCGTTGGTGTGAGTGTAGCTAACTCTAATACGGCAAGATATTCTTTTCAGAACTGAAAATGCTTAATTAATTATTAAACGGGTGTTTGTTACTTTAACGGGTTTGTACTGTGATAAACGGTTATTGCGCTGTAAAAGGTATGATGAACAAAAAGTAGAGCGTTAAGACGGAAGTAGCGCAGCTAGTAATTGCATGGAATGGAGAATTGATGTTGCGTACGAATGTTTCTCGCCGTAACAATGATATCGTTGGCATACTTTCGTTTCAAAGAGAAACATTCGCACAGCATCCTAGAATGGCGTAGGTACCACAACAATTTCTTACTTTTTTTGCTGAACAGCAAGCTATGCCACGCTTATACTTCGTTGCATTTTTACTATCAACCACCACTGATTACCACATGCACGTTCAAGAACACCTTGCATCACTGCAAAGAAGCAAGATGAGCTGTAATTACCGCTTGATTCTCATTATGTGCCAATATGCACGCCGTAAAACCACAATACCAACCAATCCACCATTTTATCTGCGGTAAACTACATCTCATCCACTTTTCAGTTAATTCATCAA